TCTCTTGGTGAAGGGAAAGGCTCATAGCACAGTCCATTGTTGATAAAATGAGCACAAGAAAAAAAAAAGCGTAACTCCTAGAATAAGGCAAAAATCTCAATGGTGCTTTTACCAGGCACAGGGAGCACCTGCTATATTTCTGCAAAAGACAAGGCCCAGGGCAGATCTTCTGCCAGAGCACACAGAGCCTCAGCCCAGGAGCTGTCCTTCCTGCCTCCTTTGCAGATAAGTCTTTGGTTCCCCATTTGAAAACTACAAAGTTTAGTTTTAGAAGCCAGATGAAGGCTTAGTGCTTTCCGTCTACAACTGCCTAAGTGACTACAGCGGAAGTCAATTTTGGAGACCGTAACAGGTAATGCAGGCAGAAAAGAAACTGGAATATCATGGAGCACAGGTGAGGCTTTCTGCCCCATTTCAGAAATCTGTGTTTAGTTTTGACTTTCCTCCATTTTCCAAATTTCCCATAGTGTTGATTCTATTAGTCCACAGCAGTCAGTCACTGTTCACTTCCTTTTCTCCAGGCTCCACGTGGTTCCCAATATCCCTAAAGACAACGTTAGCTGCAAGGCATCTTGAGTTACCCCCAAACTCTCCCCCCCTCCCCCATTTACTATCATTTATTTCAAACTCTAAAAACAGGACCATCCCCATTAGTTGAGTAAACCCCATATGGCTCCATTTATAACAAGGGCAAACAAATACTGGGCCAGACATAACTCATTTAATCCTCAAAACAATCCTGTGAGGTAGGTACTATCAGGATCCCTATTAGGAAAAGGAGGAAGCCAGGGCACAGGAAGTTATGGGCCTGCCCTAGGAGCAGTGGTCGGCAAATTGCGGCTCTCCAGGCGCAATGTGCCACTCTGTTGACTGATGAGTTTGCTGACCACAGCCCTAGAACTCTGGAATAAGCATTGTTAGGGACTACGAACTTCTACAATGACTGGGTTCCTGATAAGCTAATTCTGTGTCTTTGGTGCCAAAATCATTTCGTGTTGGATGAAATGTCATGGCTCAGTTACGTGGGTCACACCCAGTTGAGTTCTGTATTGTTTTGGGACCTCAGGTGTAAAGCTGCAGGCTGCGGAAACTGGTTTGGCTCAGTGGATAGAGCTTCGGTCTGCGGACTGAGGGGTCCCAGGTTCGATTCCGGTCAAGGGCATGTACATTGGTTGCGGGCACATCCCCGGTGTGTGTGTGTGTGTGTGCGTGTGTGCGCGTGCGTGTGCAGGAGGCAGCTGGCTGGTGCTTTTCTTTTATCGATGTTTCTAGCTCTCTATCCTTCTCCCTTCCTCTCTGTAAAATATCAATAAAATATTAAAAAAATAAAAACAAAAAAAAGCTGCAGGCTGTTCAGGAAGAAACTGTCTGCAACTCTGCCACCTGACAGCTACTGTCCACTGTCCGCTGTCCCTTCTCAGCTCTCGAGGGGCTGCTCCTAGTGCAGGCAGACACCTCACACCCACTCCCGTCTACTTTGTTATTTCCAATCCATTGTGTGGTAGGAAATCAAACCACTGGGCAACACCATTCTGAATTTTGTAAAAGGCATGATGAATATGGACTGGTTTCATTTCTTTTTGACTTGTACTTATAGCTTCAAAACACAAATTAGAGCCGAAACCGGTTTGGCTCAGTGGATAGAGCGTCGGCCTGCGGACTGAAAGGTCCCAAGTTCAATTCTGGTCAAGGGCATGTACTTTGGTTGTGGGCACATCCCCAGTGGGGGGTGTGCAGGAGGCAGCTGGTCGATAATTCTCTCTCACCAATGTTTCTAACTCTCTTCTCTCTCTCTCTTCCTCTCTGTAAAAAAAAAAAAAAATCAATAAAATATATATATTTTTTAAATTAGAAATTGTGGCAGAGGGACCTCGTGGGATCTGGGGCCACCCCACGACCAGGAAAGGCAAAGGACTTTAGCAAAGCCTGCATGGCACCACGTCCCCAGAGACCGTGCCCACTCCTTCCAGGTGTTTTACGTTGTGGGCAGGGACCGGGTGAGGGCCGGGTGCACAACAGGTGTTTCCTGGCAGATTCTCGTTTCGTTCACGTGCCCACAGGCAGGAAGGGCCTCTGCCGCGGTACATGCCCGGAATCACTTAAAATGGACATTTGTAAGGTAAGGTAACCAGGCGTCCCGCTTTTGGGGGGACAGTCCTGATTTCTAACAATTTGTCCCGGGACGTGGGACAAATTGTTAAAAATCGCCTAGTCACTTTAAGTAAGGATTCCTTAAAAGCAGCTGTTTTTAAATTTTTACCCAGAGTCTTCCTAGACTCAGGAAGTATTCCCATGTGGCTCCGGACCATTTCCTCCCACAAGCCGCTCCCTGAGAAGGCCAGGTCTGGGCGGCTGGCTGCACACGGGCTTTCCTTCGCCGACACCGAAGGGGCTCATCTCTTTTCAGAGGAAGTGGGCGGCAGCCTCGTCCCAGCCAAACCCTTACCTGGCTCTTCTTCGCCTTAGAGCGAACACCTCTGAGGCTGTGGGACTAGACTGGCTGCGTGGTGTCCTTACTATGGCATGCTGACTTGGGGGATGGGAGGGGAGGGTGGGAAACAAGAGCTCTGAACGGTGGGGTCCAGACTCCCACGGTTCTTATAATCCCTCTTTGGATCAATTTACTCCGTGACCTTGAGCAAATCACTTAATCTCTCGGTAGCTCAATTTCCTCAGTTGTAAAACAGGATCACACCCCCTATACCACCTTGATCCGTGAGCTGCGGAGTCAAATGAGTTGGCTGTTGAACGCAATAGGAAAGCTCTAACCTATCCCTAACAAGCCACGACAAAGGTTCTTTTAGCCGTTCTCTGAATCTGCAATCCCAAGCCCCCAAAAAGCCTGCACCGACACTGACTGTTATGCCACGATACTGGGTGGTCATTCACTTCAGAAGCAGGAGCTAAAGCGGCGTGGATCTAAAACTAGCAAGACACGATCAGAAAATAAAAGAGATCTCTTCTGGGGCTGGTAGTAATACGGTAACGCCTCAGGCCACCCCCACCCCCTGTTTTTTGGCCACTGCCCCCCCCCCCTCTCTTGGAGATGAGAATACTACTGAGCCTCCTACAGGGGCACCACCAGCAGATCAGAGCTGCGCACCCACACTCCCTCCCTGGACCACGGATCCTCGCAAAGAAGAACCCTTTAACCTGAGGTTGACCAGACGACCTAATTTTTAACAATTTGTCCCGCGTCGCGTGGCATTTTTAAAAAGTCCCGATTTTTGGAAAGATTTTTTAAAAATCTTTTGGACTTTTTTAAAACGCCGTGAGACGCGGGACAAATGGTTAAAAAATCGGGACTGTCCCGCCAAAAGCGAGACGTCTGGTCACCTTACTCTAACCCCAATATCCACTTCCTCTCCTGGGACAGATGACAGATAAACTGAAGAGCCAAAGGCACTCTCAACCTCATTAGACTGCTTTCAACACCAAAGTGACTCTCCCCAAACTTTAAGGATTTCTCAAGACTCGAACTATTATATCAAGCTGCCCGACCCTAAGCAAAGACTGTGATGCCATCCACATCCTAACAGGCTACCTCCACCTGCCTTTTAGGTAAGACATTTTGGTATGAACTTTCAAGTCCACCTCATCAGAGATTTTTATTGTTTTCAATGTCATACCTTGGACTTTGATTTTGGTTGTCACCGCTGTCATGTCAAATGAATGCTCTTTCTGTTCAGTGGCAGACCGCTGTCACATTTTCCAGAGGGAGGAACGGAAACAGCAGGAAGCCCAGGCCCTTTGCCCGGGGTTTGCTGTTTTTGCACAGCCTTAGCAATGAGGAGCTTTGCCTCAGGGACTTAAGACTCAACAGACCTCTCCAAGGCTCCCGATCGGAAACCTGGAGCAGGAGCCAGCAGAGCTCCTCTCCCGGTTGCACTTGGCCAGGTCAGTAAGCGCCCCCAGGCTGCAATTTTCCGTCTGTGAACTCTGAGCTAATGGAGAAAGCAGGAGAGGCAGCAGACTTGGGTAAACCAGAGAAACTACCCTGCGTCTCAAGGGATGAAAGGCAACTTGTACAAGTCACAGGAAGCAGGCAAAGCTCAGTGAAGACACTTCTCTCTCTCTCCTTTAGAACTCACGTCTTCCCACAAATAAAGCCCCTTGAAACTCACAGGACTCCACAGCTGGCCTGACTCTGGGTTGGAGGGCCCTCTGTTCCAAGCCTCAGGAGGCTAGTCTGGATGACGGGCCCCACACCACTAAGCCCACCTTGTTATCCTGGGTGGACTACTCTTAAAAACAAAACAAAACAAACAAAAAAAACCCACCAGCCAAAGGGCTGAAGCAGAGAAGGCCATCGATTACAGGCCAGGATGGCTCAACAGGCCAAATCTAGCCAATGCGCCCGGAAGCTTTTGGGGACCTTGTTGGAGAAAATAGGGCGAAGCTATCCAGGTGTGGTTAGAACTTAGCCCGAGAGCATAAGAAGTCAAGTGCAGGTGAGGCTGCTGCCTCTGCCCTACTGCGCACTCACACTTAGTGGTAGGACTGGCTCTTGCAAAAAAAAAAAAAAAGTGGCCCTACTCCTGCAGACTGTCTGGTGTATTAAGACAGATGTTTGAAAAGGGTGGTCAGCATGCAAAGCTCCAGAGGTTACTTTGATATTTAAAAATATTAGCAATTGCCGAAAGCGGTTTGGCTCAGTGGATGGAGCGTCAGCCTGCGGACTGAAAGGTCCGGGGTTCCATTCCGATCAGGGGGGCATGTACCTTGGTCGCGGACACATCCCCAGTAGGAGGTGTGCAGGAGGCAGCTGATGGATGATTCTCTCTCATCAAGGTTTCTAACTCTCTATCCCTCTACCTTCCTCTCTGTAAAAAAAAAAAAAATCAATAAAATATATATAAAAATAAAAATATTAACAACCAATTAAAATGAACTCTTTAGAAAGAGTATATGAAGGTGTGTGTTTATGAATGAACTGGAGTGCCATGAAGAGCCGGCGTCTCCAAGGAGGAGGGTGTGTGTGGGGAGGATTTGTCGTTTACCTGGCCAGGTCGAGGAAGGAATCCACCGTCTCTTTGGGGACCGGAGGGGAGCCCGAATCCTCCAGCCCAAGGTCGCTGGACTTTAGGATCTGCGCGTTAGATCCGGGCTTGATGATGAATGCCAGAGCGACGGCGAGCGCAGAGGCGCCCAGCGTGGTGAGGCCGAAGTAGGCGATGGCGATGCCGCCCAGGCGCCCCAGGGAGCTGGCGTCCAGGGAGGCGGCGCCCGACACCAGGCTGCAGACCACCAGGGGCAGGATGATCATGCGCAGCATGCGCAGCAGCATCTCCCCGGGGAAGGCCAGGTAGGCGACCTGCGTGCGGCTAAGCCCGAGCCCGCGCAGCGCCGCGCCCAGGCCGGTGCCCGCCACCACCCCGGACACGGTGAGCAGCACCAGCGCCTGGCGCCGGAGGAAGCGGGCGCAGCGCCGCGCGCCCCCCGCGGGGGGCCCGGGCGCCCCAGGCCCCGCCGGGGCGCTGTCCAGGTAGCCGTTGGTGTCACTGCTCTTCTCCATGACGTTGCTGCAGCTCAGAGCTGGGGAAGGGCGAAGGACTTGGGCTCTAGTAAAAGACGGAACTCTCAATGAATGGCTCGCTCAGGCGGAGCTGGCGCAATCCACTAGCTGTGTCTGGTTCTGAGAACCACCCCCTCGGGAGACCGCCGGGCTGGGCGCACACACAGGTGTGGAGAGAGAGGCCAGGGGAGGCTCCGGGAGCGGGCTGGAGCTCCCAGCTTGGTCGCAGGGATCTCCGGACAGAGGATGATGCAACGTGGGCGCCGATGGGAAGGAGGGATCACCGCTCCGGGGCCGCGCTCTGGCCAATCAGCACCCGCGCGCAGCCGCAGCGGGTCCCGGGCGGTGGTGGGTGGGGCGCCGGAGTCCGGGCGCTGCCCAGGGCAGAGGGAGCCGGTCAGTCCGTGCGCCCCCAGCCTCTCTAATGGGGACGGGGACGGGGACGGGCTCCAGGCTACCGTGGGGGGGGGGGGGGGGGCGCGGACTGAGGGACGGCGCGGGCCCCTGGCACTGCCCGGGCCTCTCGGGCGGACCGAGGTCTGGGCGCTCGGAGCCCGAGGGCCCGGGAGAAGGTGGAACGGGGCTGCGTTCCTTGTCCGGATCGGGAGAGGGGGAAGGCTTTCCTCCCGGTTATTGCTTTTCGCCCAGCACCGCCCGCTGTGGATCCGATAACTCGCCCGTCTCTTTTGAGGGGGCCCCCACGGTATAGTCTTACCGCTGCCGAGTCCTTCTGCATAAAACCGCCTCCTCCCTTGGAGTCCCGTGGGGTTAAGTGCGGTAAAGCACGCCGGGATGCCCAGCGCAGGCCCTGGCCCGGAGACAAAAGATGGATGGGCCAAAACCGGTTTGGCTCAGTGGATAGAGCGTCAGCCTGTGGACTGAAAGGTCCCGGGTTCGATTTTAGTCAAGGGCATGTACCTTAGTTGCGGGCATATCCCCAGTGGGGGGTGTGCAAGAGGCAGCTGATGGATGTTTCTCATTGATGTTTCTAACTCTCTCTTACTCTCTGTAAAAAATCAATTATATATATATATATATATATATATATATATATATATATATATATATATATATATATTTTTTTTTTTAAGGATGGATGGATGGATGGGCTGGTATGAGAAAAGCCTTCCCCACACGTTCATTGAGGGCTCTGACACCCCGAAGTGGAACCCGGATCCACTGTGCCATCCAGTCCAGCACCCCGCCCCTTCTCCACGCAGGCTTGGAGGAGCGTGCGTTGGGTTCGCCTGCAGCTGTCTGCGGTAAAGAAGCAAAATTTCTTCCAGGAAAAAAAAACCCAAACAAACAAAAAACAGAGCTCCCACACCACTCCTTCCAGCTCACACAAGCCACTGGATTTCAACTCCCTCCACCCCCAAGCCGCCCAGCAAAAAAACGGTGCCGATGGCTGTGTAGCCAGCCCCAGCCTTGGAAGGTGGTTTCTTAACTATTCACATTCGATTCGTTTCCTCTTTATTTGCCATTTGCTCTGGTCTCAGCAGATACAGGAGAAAGCTCTATGCCGTGGTTTTACTTCTCACATTTATTGGATTTTTATATGTTCTCTATTCTGCTTTTGAAAAGAATTCTTCTTTTAAGACTTTTGTGAAAGGGAAGTCTTGCATGAATTAAAGAGGAAAGGCAATTTGCTATAGACCTATTGCTAAAAAGTAGAGTCATCTTAAAACATGTCGTGACAGATATTTGTGCAAATCAAACAAAATGCCTTCCGAAGGAACTTTAAGGAGCTATTTAAATTTTGAGGCAGTGAGGATTTCCATTATTTGAAGCCAGCTGGAGCTTGTAGGTTTTTGTTGTTGTTGTTGTTGCTGTGATGGTGTTTGTTTGTTGTTGCTGTTTTTTAAAAAAATATATTTTATTGATTTTTTCTTAAAGAGAAGAAGGGAGAGGAATAGAGAGCTAGAAACGTCGATGAGAGAGAAACATCGACCAGTTGCCTCCTGCACACCCCCTACCGGGGATGTGCCCGCAACCAATGTACATGCCCTTGACCGGATTCTAACCTGGGACCTTTCAGTCCGCAGACCGACGCTCTACCGCTGAGCCAAACCGGTTTTGGCTGTTGTTGATTTTTTTTGAGAGAGGGAGGGGGATACCTGTCGAGTGAAGAGCTGTACATATTTTCATCTGATTTTTCACTACACAAATTACTCCTCTTTGTGCACAGAAGAAGAGGGAATTCTAGAGACACCCTCTATTTTGCCAACCAGCAACTTCCTTTGTTTTGACTACCGTTCTTACAGGAGGACTCTCCAGTCATGCTCCAGAAATGAATTCCCAATTGCCTGCTTTCCATCTCTACCTGGACATCCTGAAGGCATTCCAACTCAGCATGTCAAAAACTGACTCACAGCTGCTTCCCTCGGGCCTTCTCCTCCTTCTGACCACCCCTGTGTCTGTGCCTTCCTCCAGCCTGCTCCTCTTTCTGACTCCCAGTCCGGTTACCCACATTGTTGACCGCCAGTCAACAATGAAATCTCTTTGAAATCTCACAGTGACCTTTGATTCTTCCTTCTCTGGTGCCTCTTCTCATCAATTACCAATTCACAAATACACTGTTTTCATAATATCACATCCACCACTCCCACCCATTTCTTGGCTCGGTTTTTAATTCCTCACTTGCTTATCTTGACTCTGGAATTGCTTACTAATTAGTCTTCCCGCCTCCATTGTTCCAACCATCACATATTTTGCCTTGCCTTGGGGCCAATATTTTCAATAAATAATTTACATGTTAGGATTAGTTTCAGCTTCTATCCAATGGGGGTGGGGAGGAGAGCAATTCTCTGATCCCTTAAGAAAACTTCCTAAAAATTGGATATACAGTCCTATTTCATTTAGATTTCATTCATCAGAATTTAGGCACATGACCGACTTTGCTGCAAGAGACATTAGGAAATTTCACCTTTATTTTGTACAGGCATATATCCAGTTAAAAATCAAGGCTTCTGAGGCCCAGAGCAGCAGCAACCAAGCCCGGAGCAGCCAGGTTGGAAGCTGCCAGGCCCGGAGCAGCTGGGCCCAGAGCAGCCGGGTTGGGAGCAGCCAGGCCTGGAGCAAGAGTTGCCAGGCCAGGAGTGGCCAGGCCCGGAGCAGCAGCAGCCAGGCTGGGAGTGGCAGTGGCCAGACCCGGAGCAGCTGGTTGTGGAACAGACCAGAGCAACAGAGGCCAAGCCCGGAGCAGAAAAAAAACAAGGTTTAAAATTATTAGATTTTAAAATTTATTCTTAGAAGTGTAAAAGTTTATTAATTAAAAAAAACAGCTGTCCTGACAGGCCCCACGGTGGCCGCAAGGGAAACTACCGGATGCAGCTGTATGACAAGCAGCGGGAGGAGTACCAGCCAGCCACCCCCGGACTGGGCATGTTCGTGGAGGTGAAGGACCCCGAAGACAAGGTCATCCTGGCCCGGCAGTATGGCTCTGAAGGCAGGTTCACTTTCACATCCCATACCCCTGGCGAGCATCAGATCTGTCTTCACTCCAATTCCACCAAGTTCTCCCTTTTTGCTGGAGGCATGTTGAGAGTTCATCTGGACATTCGGGTGGGTGATCACGCCAATGACTATGCAGAAATTGCCGCCAAAGACAAGTTGAGTGAGTTACAACTACGAGTACGACAGCTGGTGGAGCAAGTAGAGCAGATCCAGAAAGAACAGAACTATCAGCGGTGGTGAGAGGAGCGCTTCCGGCAGACCAGCGAGAGCAGCAACCAGCGGGTGCTGTGGTGGTCCATTCTGCAGACCCTCATCCTCGTAGCCATCGGTGTCTGGCAGATGCGACACCTCAAGAGCTTCTTTGAAGCCAAGAAGCTGGTGTAGACATCCTCCCAGGCTGGGGAGAAGAGGCCTCCTGGAACTGATTTCTCTCTGGCAGGAGGACTGATTCCCAGCCATGGATATTCTGGAGGGAAGAGAGGTCACAGGCACCCCAGGCACAAGCTAAGGGGAGCAGCTCACCTGGAGCATACTGAGCAGGTGGTAGGGCAAGTGCCTGCCCCCTCTCCTGAGCTCGGGCCTTTGCAGTAATCTCCTAGGGTCTATTGAAGCCACTGGGAGTCCCAATGTTACTAATCAGGGATGTGAGGCTGTTATCTGGGGTGGCTGCAGGGAGGGGTGTGGGTGGGCAAGCCAGTTTTTTTGTTTGTTTTTTTCCTTCCTTGCTAACTTGGGATTTTAGGCAGGTTGTGATACAGCTGTGATTCTCTGCCACCCTGAGAATCTCCTTGGGCCCAACTCAGCCTGCTGATCCAGGGTGTGTGTTTCACTTGAGGGTGGGATGGAGGGGGTTGCAAAGTGGGAAAGTGGTCCTGAGGTTGACTCCAGGTTTTTTACATAGATGTCCTTTTTGGGGCTTGAGGAACTGAGATCAGGGCAAGCAGAGGTCTTGGTACTGGCTGGGGATGGGGCTGCAGAGTCTTAGTTACTGATTTCATTTTCAATAAGCCTAGGTTTGTTACATTGGTTTCCCAATAAAGCATTTTAAAATAAGAAAAAAAAAACAACAACAACAACAAAAAAAAGGAGATTGAAAAACCTGATGAACAATAATAGCTGTTCATTGTAGTAGAGTCGGTGATATGGGAGGGGAGTGGACTGACTGTTCTCCGGGAAAGGGGGAATGGTGGAGGGAGGAAGAGACTGAACATAAACTGTGTACCTATGGATGAGGACAATGGGGAGTGGGGAGGGGGGAGGGGGGGTGGGAACCTGGTGGAGGGGGGAAGAAATGAGGAACCTTTAAAAAATCAAGGCTTCTGTCACGTCACGTCTTGTTCAAAAGTTTCCAGTGGCTCCTGCTGAATTACGAATATGCTTTTCACCCTGACATTCAAGACCTGTCATGATCTGGTCTCAGCTCACTCTCCATCCAGCCTAGAGCCCTCTATGTCTGCAGTGAAAATGAGACTGTGTAATAAAAAACAAACAAACAAACAAACAGATAAATAGGGGGAAAATGAGACTGTGTGCTGCTTCCACAT